AATAATTAGTTTAGAAAATACTTTTAGATCAAGAAATATAGAATAAAATGACATACATCACTTCTTCTCGATCTTTTCTTTTCTTCGATTTGCATAACTATTATTTGATCCTTTTATCATCCTTGGTTGTATATCTAATCCCTTTTATTTCTCCATTAACATTTTCTCGATAAATACCTTGCTTCTCTCGATATCTCGAAGTCCATTTACTATTAATAAGTTCTCTTTGATATTTCTCTAACTCTTTCTTAATTTTCCAAAGTCTTTGATTTCAACAACCTTATCTATTTTCACTAATCTCTTTCTTGATTTCTTTTCTAACTATGATAATGCTTCAATTTTTTAATTTTCGATTACTATTTTGTCTTCTTTTTAATTTTTCTACGAATCTTCAATCTTTTGATTCTTTGATGCTCCTTGACTATCTTGTTTTTTGTCTTGATTGGTCTTTTGATTATTACAAAAATCTTAATCATATAATTATTTAATTTGTCCATATTGATCTTTTTGTGTTATTCGATTTTAATATTTTTTTATTAACATTTCGATTATTTATATTTTTTATTTTAAATCGACTTTTGATTTTTCCCAATTCAATCTCAATTCTAACCCTTTGATATTTATTGTTTGATATCGATTTTTACTTTATCGATCTTTTATCACTAGATCTCGATTTTTCTCTTGTGTCTTAATTTTTATCTTATTAATTATTTATCGTCTCGATTTATCTATCGATTGATCTCATTTATCTATCGATCTACTATCTCGAGCTCAATTTTTATCTTATCAATAATCTTAATTTTCTTTAATCTCAATTTTTATCACTTTAACTGCTCGATCTCAATTTTTTATTTTTTCAATTTTTATCAACTCAATCTCAATTTTTTAATTTATTAACTTTAATATATATTTTTTAATAAATTCTTTCAGTTTGTAAATTTATCATATATATATATATATATATATATATATATATATATATATATATATACAAATTGGCAATCTAAAAATTAGCTTTAAATCCTTTCTCATGTTAAAAAATAGTTTAAATGAATATTTATATAGTGATGTATGTTTTCTTAAAACTTAAAAATCTATTTTTGTCTATGTTTATCAAATTCTTTTTTTTTTTAAGATTATATTAAAAAGAGAAAAAAAAACTCACACTCAGTTAACATGTTTTAAGTAAATCATTTTCTTTCGAATTAACACATACCAATATCATTCGAATGCAGGGCGAAATTATCATCTAGTATTGGTGATCGAAAATATATGGCCCACACAAAACTATAACCTTCCATCGTATGGCAGTGTTGTACTGTAATTGGGACCACCAAACGTTGATAACAATGCCATGACGAAACGTGACTTGTCAAACAGTGTCCTGTACTATACCTGTGTCCCAACTGCAGAATCGGATGTGGCAGCTTGCAATAGGAATTCTTCATCCTCTGTGTTCTAACACCACTGTCAGTGCTTCTTCTCCCTCAATTTTTATTTATTGTTTCTCTTTCTATTTTCTTCTCCATCTTTTAGGCACTGTGTGAGAAGGAGCATCATCATAATTGCCAAATATTACTACTTATGTGACTGGGGAATCTCACGTCAATATCATAATTGAGTCTGGTTTCTTTAACTCTCCTCCCTGTGCACAGGGTTTACTGTGAGAATACACAGTGCTTAGGGCAACAAAATTATATTCTGACTTTTTTAATTAATATTTTTTCATATGCATAGACTTAAAATTGATTCTATGATCTTATATTTAAAAGACAAAATTCCGCGTATTATGTAACTGGGTATAACTAATACATTATTTGCGACACCATAAACACATTTAACATCAGTACTAACTAGTAGGACACTACACTAGTTCTTTTAGGTTGCAACTGCACCATTAACTTTTCTCTGCACCACCAACCAGAGATCTTATGATTGTATCATCATTAGGGGGGGGAAGCTAATAATTTACTCAAAGGCTTAAATAAGATGTAAATAGCAAAAGTTTGGTGAAGTAGTTTTTGTGTTAGCTGGAAAACGTAAATACATCTTCATTACTTCTCGCCATGGTTGATTACTTGATTCTTAAGATTTTCTTAACTTCTTTGTATAGTAACTACCAATCTAATATATGTATACTTTGAATAGCCGCTGCAGCTCCAGGTAGCAGTTAGCTGCTATTCATGTGGTTCTATTGCTTTTAATTATTAGTATTTTAGCATCACTTGATTATATCATCAAATTTATAATGCTTTACCATTTTAAGGACCTATGGACACTAGCTTACCAATTTGTGGTTTATAGGCTTGTTCTAATAGGAAAAGAGATAATAGCAACGCAACCTGTTTATTATATGAACATAATTCTTGCACAAGGTTTTTAAATTATGAGGTCCCAGTCTTGATTGAAATGTCGTTATGATTCTTGCTGGTACAAGTAAATATAATTGATACCACTACAGTTAAAAGTCTAAAATCTTCGATGTTGGGAGTGATATTGCCGTTTAAATATTGATTTTAGAAACCTTGTTCATCAAGTTTAGAAACTAATAATTTGAATCTATATGCTTTTTAGGAGACTAGAAGTCAATGGATGAGTAATTGTTGAGAGTAGTGGTGTGTATATGTTCCTTCTACTCATGGTCTTAGTACTCTAAAGTTTTAAATTAAAAGGGAACACATTCAATATCTTAGAGAAAATATAAATTGCATTCAATTTTCTTGGGAATTAGTTGGGAGGTGATGTAGGAGGATGTACCCTAGTAGTATGAAGTTGTTTTGTTGCCAGAATAGTTTATGCATATACGTATATTAGTTGGTGCTTTTATTTTCATTTATATGTACAATGCTGTTAGAGAAACTACCGTTGGCGTCTATTTGTGAAGATGATATATATCATCTCTACTTCACAATAATATATATCTACAAGTATAATGACAGAAATTAATCACAAAAATATATCAATAAATACTTCATACCAATAACATAGTTAAATTCTATTGGATTATAGAACCTTCTAGACTTTTCTTTTTCTAGTAATATAATTTATTGAAGTTGTGAATTCAAGCCTAAGGAGGATGGCATTTGCCTTTAAAGCGTTTATTTCTGTTTTAAATTTCTTCATACTGACTTTTGAACGTACCACTGGCTTTTGTTGTACTTGTGGCTTATTCATGTGAATATGATCTTATATTACAAGTCTCAGTCTTTGGTTTTAACCCTAATTGATCCAGCATTTGGGCCAAGGAGGCCCATTATTCAGATTAACCCAGAACAATTATAGAGATTAAGTGTTGGATTGCCACTGTGGTTTGATGATATAGTCATAAATTATGAACTTTATTAGATAGTACCATCATTGAATACATCTGTCTTTGAACTACGAAGTAAATATAATTTATAAAGTACAATGAGTTAGTATACAAGGAAAGATTTCCCATTCTTCAATTCTGTTCAAACTTTATAAATACAATTTAGAAGGATACTATTTCAATGTCTCAATATGACAGTTGGTTTTCCCATGACAAAAGTTAATTGTTGGGTGTCCAATACACTAAGTAAAAACAGAGCACTAACCCTTATTGTCTGGTTTTAGTTATGGTTCTTCCTTTCTAGACATATCAAATCTAATAGGCTCCTTTCTTAGTAGAATGCACAGAACCATAGAGTAAGCATTGCAGTGATCTTAGTAGATAGAGTTTGCAATACTTTCAATGCACCTTAGAGGTACGTACGTGAGTGATGGACTAGTGTTTAATTACACATAATAGAAAGACTTAAAACCCTGAGTTAGAGATATGCATCAACCAATCCGTTTTGACTATAACAACAGAGTTTTCGCTGCTAATAATGATAAAATGTGTCACATGGTAAGTGGTTCTACAAACATATCCACACTACAAGTTTATGCATGTGCTGTGTACGACATGTTTATTTGAACAGTATTACTAAGCGTATCTCCTTCAACGTAGGGTGAGTAAAAATCATTGAAATCGAGTTTGGGTTAGAATTTTTGCACTTTTCATTGTAGCTTCTGTTCTTTATTGTTCTAGCTTGATTCAGAAATTCTGACAGTCAGGGGTATTGAAATGATAATTCTAATTCTAACCATCATGGATTATGCAACGGTGGAAAGATTACGTTTCCACCCAATGACCATAGCAGTTTTCAGAAAAGCTTACTTTCATGTGATCAGATTTTCTTTGAAGTATGACTAACAACATCAGTTCTGCAAGATATTTGAAACACCTAGTGACTATTATGAGATACTACCATACAGTTTCAGAACAAACTTGCCACATGGGACAGGTAATGAATTGAAATCCAAGAATATCATATTTTTACTATAATACCATATAACAAGACATAAATGAGCAAGACTTGTGTATTCCTGTTTCAAGGATTAGTGACTATAATAATACGTGTTTAGCTTTCGTAGGGAGCAATTTTAAATGAGAGAATTATCTTCTCTGAAAAAAAAAAATAGCCTTCAGTCCTTTGCAATATATGAAAGAACAGAATGGATCCAAATCATTAACTTCCAATTTGAGATGGAAAACTTCCTCATATCATCTCAACCTATCAGATGTCTGCCCTGGTTACTATTCTCACAGATATTTGATTGCAGTATCTTTTGTCGATGAAGTCAATAGGTATAAAAACCGCAAGATAATTAACTAGTTAAATTATTCAGTAAGAAAATCCATTGTTATGATTCATGAAGAAACCAAACAAGTATTCTTTGGACTTGGAAATTGAAATTTCAAAAGTTCACATGTCTATTTCTTCATCATTGAAAACAATTTTTCTATATGCTGCAAATATGCAACATTTTTGTCTTCAAAAAAATTTCAATTTACTTGGATAATCTATGATGTCATTCTCCTGAAATCAACCAAAAATTTGTTTACATGTTTCAAATGAATGATTTTTCTCTTTCTGTATTTTCTTTTTCACAAATGAACTGAGAAATAAAACCTGGGGAAATCCTTTGTTCAACAGCTACGTAGTGCTGGCCTGAGAATGCAAGGTATGACTTCTCCTTCTAACCAACCAGTACCCGAACCCTCCAACAAGAAGTAGAATAATGGATCCATCAACCCCTCCAACCACAACCAACACCCATCTTTTGACGTTATGCCTCTCGTGATTTTTACCAGTTCCCTTTGGGACCTTAACCATGTAACTAAATCCAGTGCCTTTATCTACCTGTTTGAGACCCAGCACTAGTTTGTAAAGATAACATTCTGTTGCTTCTGAGCTTGCGTTTCCAAAATATGAAGCAGCAGCACATTTACAGTCCTGTAAGCACAAATCTGCACAATCTTTTTTGCTAATATTGACCATTTTAGTTACATTTTGAAGCACACTACCGATGTTATCAAGTTCTAGCATTTCTGCTTCTTTACCATTGCAAAACCCTCCTGAAATTTCCCCACTGCAATCAGCACCACCCTTGTTTTCATTTGTCAAAAGCTGAATACAATAGCAGGAATTGGAGAATGTACATACCCCATAAGGTCTACAAGCAATTGGAAGATCACATGTGCTGTTAAGTGCTTGAAAAGAGGCCTCAAACTTTCCTTTCTCAGGTGAATAGTAATAGAGGCCAAAGTTTCCTGTATCTTTCTTCAGTGCTAGAAATCTTAGCGGGTGAATTCCCTCTGATGGAATTTGTGCTATTTTCTTGTACTTGACATCAAACAACACCAACCCTCTTGAACTCAGCTTAACATATGTAATACTTCTATTCATGGAAGGCTGAAAACCCCAGTAAGAATACCTCAACTTACCATAGTTCAAGTACATAGCGACTTTCTTGTCCTCAATTTCAAAAGAGTAGTAGAACAAACTTGAGTTGCTTTGGGAAGATGTCAAGCGAGTTGCAATATCGAGTTGCTGACCCCAGAGCATAACATCCGTTGGAAAATTGAAACTCTGCCACTTTATATTGTTCAGTGCATCTACAAGCACTAAATTGCCAGACCTCAGTATCTGCAATCTCTGCCACGAATTTATTCAATGCAAAAAATCATGTGTTAGACTCTAAGCAATTCAGCTTAATTGACTGAACAATAGTTAAATAGTATTTCCATTTGATGGCTGGAATTTACCATGCACTAAGAACAATGTGTTAAGTCTCAAAAAAATTTAATTCATGGCTTGAAATTTTCAGAGTTTAAATGGAAAAAGAGAAAATAGTGCTTGCACTAACAATGTAAATTTTTTGTGTATGATAATTTTTTTAACTTTTACAATAACTTCCTTAAATGTGATTCCAACAATTACTTCTGATTTGTGGATGATTTAAAAAAAAAATTACACTTACAATACAGAGAAATTAATCTAGAAATATTATTATGCCACTAATATATTTGTTTCTTTTGTGGTCTGAGAATTATTTGAATTAGTAATTTATGTAAATATCATTTTCCAATGACTAAATCTATGTATTCTTGCATAGCAAAGCTGAAACTCAACTAGCAGCATTGGTATGTAGAGTGTCTCAGTTTTACCTTCACCCCCTGTCCAGAAGTCCCAGTCTTCCATCCCACTCTCTCTTTTGGACCTTTCAGCCTTAAATCTCCATCCATAGTGAGCTCTAGCAAGCATTTCTCAGTGATGTAAAACCTGGAGTAATGACCAGAATCCCATACTTTCACATCCCCAAGGAAAACTTCCAATGAGCATGAGTATTTTCCGTTGATGGCCTCAATGCTCAATGCTACTCTGAAATTTGGTGCTGTCTGATTGGTCTCCATAAGAAAAGCCCTCCCTTTAAAATCCATTTCATACTCAACAGGAACTGCCACCATGAGTTGGTAGCCAACACCAACAACAGATTCAGAAAAGGCATAATTGAACAAGAGAACAAGGAGGAGAAGGAAAGGAAAAAACTTCATGAGTAAATGCAACATCAAGTTTTCCTTTTTCACTTTTGGAAATAGTTTTTGATTGTTTTGGGAGGTGGGTTTGGAGTAGTGTGGTGTGTTGAGGCCAAAATTGATGAGAGCAAGTGAAGGAAAAGGTAAGCATGATTACTGAAACTCTGCGAGACCCACCTCACACCTCCCACTTCCAAAAAGGATTTGAGCTTTCATGTTGCTCACTGCCTTAAACAATTAGTACAAATGAATCCACCATGTGGTGGGGTTGCTGATTACAAAAAATGGGGAATTGTTGGTTTTCTATTCTCTTCCACAAACTGTTCTTCAGCTTTTTGGAGTTAAAAAACCATAAAGTAACGCACCACTTTGATGGTTGGACACAGACTTTTCCCATGTGAAAGTTCTTAAAAGTGTTTTCAGTTTTGAGTAAATAACGGTATTCATCAACGTTATCATTGGATTAGAATTTATAATGTATTTTAAGAAACTCTAATGCAAAATAATTTTTAATTTGAAGAAGGAAAAAAATATTTAGAGTTAAATTATTTTTAAGGTTTTTAATTCAATCCTCAGATACATCAATTCTTCCCTGTTAAAAAATGTATTATTATTAGAATGATTTCTATTTTTTCGTCATGATATTTTATTTACATTCAATTTGACTTTGGATAATTAGATCATTTATATTTTATTATTTCAAATTAATTTAAAAAAAATACTTTCTTTCTTCACTTTCTTTTTTCTGAATTCTTGTTTTTTTTCTATCCTTAGTCCGAATAAAGGGTTGAAAGTTGCCTATTTCCTAACCTATACTGTAAAATAATTGAGCATTGATGAATCCTATGCCATAATTAATTAATAGTTATGCAAAATAAACGAATATTAAATAAATATTGATTTCATCTTAATTTATTATGGGTGCCTAACTTTGTTTAGGTTGTCATCTAATTATTGTTGTTACCTCTTTAAAAAAGTTTGTCTTTTTATACCATTGTTATAACCAGCAAAGTTTTCTACAACTATGATGACATTTTATTAAATGATTGAGTAATGCTATGAACCAAAGAAATTATATATAAATAAATAGTACTATAGGCTTACACAATTTTTTGACTGATCTTGGCTATCATTTACTAAAATTAAAAATTAATTAATAAAGTAAATAAAATAATAAATAGTTAACACTACCTATTTAAAGATTTAACCATTTGTCCAAAGAAATTTGTTATTGCACAGTGATGTAAATATTCTTGATCATTTCTTTTTCTTTTTATCATTATAATAATTTAGATTTCATCATCAACCTTAAATGTAAAATAATTAAGTTTTGATTCAACATAGTTTATTTCATACTCAAAATAACATCATGAGAAACCACTTAATTAAATAATATAAGTTACGTCTAAATTATTAAATTAAAAAATCAACATTACATAGTTTTAAAAAATGTTAAAAAGTTGAGTTCATTAATTATTGGTTTGCATTGATATGGGGTTGAGTTTGTTAGAAAATAAAGAAGGGGTTTTGAAAGGGAGTGGGTTATGTTGGATGGTTGAATTGACTTTGAGCATGCGCGAGGGAGAAGGAGATTGATGTGGGACCCTACCCGTCCAATTCTGTTGGTTCATCGAGTGGCATTCTTAAATGTTTTGGAAGTGGGCGTGCAAAGTGTCATGTGAGGTTTTCATTGGTCTTATGAATTTTGTCCTGTCCTCAACGCTTGACACGTGGAGACAACCCTTTAGGCCATGTGTCCATTCCAGCTGCTGCTGACACTGCTCTTACGGTTGGATGACCTGTTGGCTTCCAACTTCCAAAATCCAAACTACCTTTTTCAAGAAGTTGTTTCAACTTATAAAAACAAATAAATAAAAATAAATAATTTTTTTATATTTTTTATTAAAATAAAACTAATATTAAATTATTTAAATATGGTATAATAGAATAAATTTATAATTATATTTAAAAAAATAATTTAAATATATATTTATTTGTATTTGTTTCTATTTATTTCTTGTTAAACAAATAAGTATGGTATTTTTTTCTCTTTAAATGAATTTAAAAGTGTAGAATTAAGGGAAAAAGTAGATAATGAATTTCCATGAAGAGATGAGAAATATATCTTACCTCGTATATATTTACAACAAATAATTCAGTTAAGAATCGATTTTTAATCATAATTGTTAAATATGAGAGTCAATTCTTACCGTTTAATAATAAAAATAAAGAATTTATTCTCTATTATTATTATTACTATTAAACGCAAAAATCAATTCCATATGAGAATTGTAAGTGTATATATTACTGGTACAATACATAATTGTATGTTCATTGCTTCAAAACATAGGCTATTATAGTCAAACAAAATACATAATGGACTAGTTCGTGTATATTTTAGGTTATTTTGTTCAAAATAAACTAAGCCTAAAAAATAAGATTATCCCTATAGACTAGGATTTATTAAAACAGAAGCAAAAAAATAAGCTTTTGGAAAGCCTCAAATTTCAAGGCTTTAGTCATTAAATTTGCAACTTACTCTTGAGCTTTGTAATATCTCAACTCAATTTCTCTATCTTTTACAATATCCCTTAAAAAATGAAACCGCACTCTGATATGTTTACTTCTACCTCATCATATTGCTTGACAGGCATTAGCAACAATCACAAACTCTACCTCTGTACTTGAAAGAGTAACAATTGGTTGTTTCTTGGACATCCATGACACTGCTCTTGAATTGAATAAGAACACATAACCATATGTGCTCTTAGAGTCATCCTCATCTTCTGCATAGTCAGAGTCCGTAAATGCAAGCAGATTTTCTTCTCCGCCTTTCCTAAAAAAAGTTTCATAACTTGTAGTTCCTTCTAGATGTCGTAGGATTCTTTTGGCCTCTTGTAGATGTAAAACAATTCGTTTAGACATGTATTTACTAATTAAACTCACATTGAACATGATATTTGCCCGAGTAGCAGTCAGATACATTAAGCTCCCTACAATCTGTTTGAAGTAAATATCATCCACCATTACACCATCAATATCTTTATTAACCTTACACACTGGGATAATTGGGCTCTTCACAGGTTTGCTCTCAAACATTGTAAACTTTTTTAGAACATCATTAGCATATTTTTGCTGACACAAAAATATTCCTTTTGGTTTTTGTAAGACCTTTATACTAAGAAAGAACCTCATATTCCCTAAATCAGTCGTATCAAAAGTCTATGTCATGCATTTCTTGAAATTAATCATCATGCTCACATCATTGTATAAATTAGATCATCAACATAAATGCTGACAATTAACATGTTTTGTTCAACACCCTTTTTTTATGAATAAGATTTGTTCACTTGGACATTTTTGAAACCCATCATTCATGAAGTGTGCTTCTATAGGGCTAAACCAAGCTCTTTGTGCTTGTTTTAAACCATACAAGGCTTTATGTAGGTTGTAAACCTTGTTCTCCTTCCGTTTTTTTTACATATCCTTTCGGTTGTTCTACATACACATCTTCATTCAATTCCCATGCAAGAATGCATATTTAATGTCTAGTTGAAAGATGTCTCACCCTCGACATGCTGCAAGAGCCACAAGCAAACACACTGTCCATGTATGCAACAGGAGCAAATATTTCAAAGAAGTCAATTCTATATTGTTGTGAATAATCTTTAGCTACTAACCTTGCTTTATATTTATCAACTTCTCCTAGCTCATTCAATTTGGTTTTGTAAATCTATTTATCTCTAATTGTCTTTACTCCAGCTAGTAGATCCATTAATTTTCAAGTTTGATTATTCTCAATTGATTGGATTTCACTGTCCATAGTTTTTCTCCATTTTGCATATTGGACTACTTCTTCAAATAGAATTGGGTACTCCTTCTTCTTCTTATTCACTCAGGCCTGCACCACTGACAAAATCTCTCATCCAAATTAATTGTCGCCTCTCTCTCTCTTTGAACTTCATTTGTTTCACCATCATTTTCAAGCTCCATGTCTTCCTCTAGTCCGTTTCCAACATTGTCATCATTATGTTGTTGTTCACTGTCATCACTATGGAGTTCATCATCCTCCTATATCAATTTGATTTCAATCTATTCTTTGTAAGTTGTGCTTCAATCCCAACACTTTTCTTCTTCAAACAAGATATTTTTACTAATCACAATTCTCTTGGTTTTAGGATCAAATAAGCAATAACATTTGGATTCACTATAAATACCTAGCAAAACGCAAGGAAAACTTTTATCATCAAGTGTACCTCGTGTGGCATCTAGTATATGTACATGAGCTAAGCATTCCTAAACTCGAAGGTATTTGATAGAAGGTTTGATTCCAATCCAAGCTTCTTGTGGTGTGATATTCTCCATGGCATACGTGGGACAATGATTCGGTAGATAAAATGCCTAATTCTCTGTTTCAGCCCAAAAAGATTTAGGAACTCCTTTTGTTGAGAGAACCTTACCATGTTCATAACAATCTTATTCTTACACTCAACAACTCCATTTTGATGTGGCGTGTTGGTTGTGGTAAGTTGTCATTCTATACCATTTTCATCACAAAATGATTTGAGTGCAAGAGAATTAAACTCTCTTCCTTTGTCTTTGATGAACACTCCAACTTCCTTTTCCGTCATGCTTTTATATGACTTGAAACACTAAAATATAGGACTGTCAAAATAAGTTTAGCCCGATGGAACAGTCCAAAAGGCTCGAAAAATAGGCCAGACTAAGGTAAAAAGTTTATGGCCTAAATAGAACCAAAAAAATTTTGGTCTAACCTATTTAAGCCAAGTCTAAATGGGCTTAAGCCAAACTAGCCCGTAGGCTTATAGGCTTACCCGTTTTACAAAATAATTATTATTTTACCAATAAAATAAAAATAATATTATTTTATTGGAAAATATATGTATAATAAATTAATTTAATAATATATTTTGTTACATATATATATATATATATATATATATATATATATACACACACACACACACATATATATATATATATATATATATGTGTGT